GAGAGAGAGAGAGAGAGAGAGAGAGAGAGAGAGAGAGAGAGAGAGAGAGAGAGAGAGAGAGAGAGAGAGAGAAGATGATAGGCTAGACTTGTAAGTAGCATAGGCGAGCATACCTGAGCTGAGGCCTACTAGTATTCATTGAGTGGAGGCGAGAAGAGGGCTTTCATTATCAAAACAGGCCAGCATTCTGTGTGTTCTTGCATAAGTGTGATCACAGCCTTGTCAATTCTGCTTTCAGCTTGGTTGTTTCAGTCATTCATTGAAGAGATTTGACGATCAGTGTGGTTGTGTTCCCAGAAAGCCGTTAGTTACCTGCTCCACTAATGGTTCAGGTGGAACAAATCACTCAGGCTCTCTGTTCTACCCTGGGAAATTGCTCATGGAGTCGTGAACAGCCAGGAGGACAGAATACGGTTGAACCACTTGTCAATATTTAAGAGTTTGTCCTTTATGTCCCGTGCTACACTACACCGGGCCCCTGAGCAAGCATTTGACGATATTGTCGGTTGGTTCAAGTTTGCCCTAGGCCAAGTACCACCCATTCCAACAGTTTCAGAATTGTTTGACACCATGCTGGAAATAAAGTCACTAAGCTGTGTCCTTCGCTGACTCCACTTTTTGCTTCAAGGCCTTTGCTGATGCTGGTTATTCACTGACTTCAGCACTTCACTCAGTTCGCTGACCCTAGCGCACTTCTAGTTCTTCAGAGAACTTTGCTGACTCTAGTTCCTGGCTGTAATTCTTCATTGACTCTAGTTTCTGGCTGTAACTCTTCACTGACTCTACTTCTTTACTTACTCCAGTTCTCGATGGACTCTGCTTCTTCACCGACTTCTTGAGCATTTCTAGCTCTTTGCGGACTCTAGCACATTTCTAGTTCCTCACTGAATCTAGTGCATTTCTTTTCTTTTTTTTTATCACCCCACGGTATTCTTTAGTAAAAGGCGAAAGAATAGTACGCCAATTGAGGTGGGCAAACTCTATTTTTTCCCGGATTTTAGTTCACCATGCACTTAGTTCTTCCTTGGCCAACTTACTTGGTGTCCACGTTGCCTGGAGGGCACCTGCAGCAGCAGCCGAGCTCAAAGTTGAGTCTGAACAAAGGCCACCCCACACCATGAACGGCCGCAGGTAGCTTGCACCGCAGTTGATGCAAGTCTCCAATGCTGCATTGCCGTGGATTTCGCTGATCTGGTCCGCAGCCAGCCCACTCCGGCGATGCAGTCCATCGATGTTCTGAGAAACGACGTGATGTGCAAAACCTTTATCCAAAAGAGTCTTCACAGCCCAGTGTGTCAATGTCGGCTTCATCTGCATTTCCATTTATTCAGTAATGCCATAGGTATTGACCGCCACCCACMCCCCCCCCCCCCCCCCCCCSGAACACCAGATCACCCCAAAAGAAAGCAGAAAACACAGATTACCTTTTGTACTGTGTGTGCAAATGATACAAAGTTAGAAAACAAGAGCTGATAACAATCAGGTTGCAATTTCCAACCATGTTGGAGACAACAGTTAAAAGTTTTTCTTTTTCTCGTACTGGAAAATTGGAAAGCAAAATCAAATGAGCTTTTGCCCTTTTTCAGGGTTTTTCTCCACACGAGATTTCTGTTCTCGTTGAGCTCATCTTAGGACACCTGCGTTATCTTCTAACAGATGTGCCAGCTAAAAGTTACATGCAGGGCTATGGTCTTTTTTAAGAAGCAAGAAAAAAAAAGCATCAGCTCAGAGGGGAACAAGGGAAAACAGAAGTCAAACGGCAGTACCTTCAGCAGCAAGATGACCTTTCCTCGTTCTTTGATGGATTTCCAGATTGCACAGGATCTGGGTCCTTCAACCATCAGAATGCTTACATATGCATATGACAGTGCCTCTATCAGCCCCTTAAGAGGACTGAGGATGGGAAGGGTAAAAAGAAATAAAAAAAGAAAAACAGAATGAAAGGCTGTGGCAGTCCAATTGCCAATCTACCAGGTCACCTTTCTTGTTCAAGAAGGAGCCTGCTGCTCGTCAGGCTGGAAACACTGGAGATCATCTCCAATCATACTCCTGCCAGGACCATTTGACCTGAATCTGTCTGTAACTGCAATCGGATACCTCTGTGAATTTGTCCTCACTGATCGTGGTCTTACCCTTTAGTAACACCTCTAGGAAAACCTGGAGGTTTTTGGTGATAGTGAGGAGAGTGTTCGGTTCAATGCCAACCGTTGTAACTGCAAACGGCTTAATGCCAGCCGTCGTAGCAAATATTGTGCGGAGAATTCCTGGCTAGGTCTTCCCATATCATCACCCACCATCCTTACAGTGCATGTCATCTCTGTCATAGATGACAGATTGACTCCTGAATCTTCTCTTATCCTTATCTCCATTCTTCCCCCCCCTCTCCCCTCCTCTAAGGCTGTTGTGAGGCTTTTCCTGCACCCATTTTGAACCCTCCCCCCATGCCTCACAATTCTGAGGCACAATGTCAACTCCCTTCCCTCTTCCTCAGCAACTTGGTGCTTCTTGTGCGTGTGTGAGAGAGAGAGAGATGCAGTTCAATGTGTTCACACACTCGACTTTATAGACAGAGAGGAAGAGAACTGTTGTTGAGCTGGATGTGTTTTGCAAGCTTGCACACTCTACTTCGCACGTTGGTCACACTGCACTATGTAGTCAATGATTGCTCACACAGTTCCCACACTCGAGTGAGCAGTGAGGGAGTTCTGCAGTTCGAAACATATTTGCACACTGTGCAAAAGGTGGGCAGTTCACAACCAACTTGCCCGCTCTGTAACAGACGGGCAGGCTTGCGTGTTTTATATTTGTGACAGTGACAGACAGGTTTGTCATACTTTCACAAACTCGTCAGGAGGCTTATCCCTGACAGTCTTCCCAGGATCCATTTCCCAGGACGTGCGATGCTCGAGTTTTTCTCCTTTTGGCTTGCGCGCATGGTGGGAGGAAGAGCTGGCAGATGATGACAGGGAACAGGAGGTAGACGAGGAGGAGGGGGATGGCAGAGCATAGGTGGCAGACGAGGAGGGGGATGGAACACGAGGGAGGGGGAGAGAGACGCGCGTACATGACGTGTAGAACTGCAGGATGATGCAGAGCAGGAGTCGGCAGAGGCTGAGAGGGCCGGCAGAGCAGGAGGTGGCGAAGGAGGAGGATGAGGTGGAGGCGAAGGAGAAGGGCACAGGTGTATGGGAGATGCCGCCACCAGGAGTTGGCCGAGGAAGAGAGGAAAAGAAGAAAAAGATGAAGCCCGAAAAGAAGTTAAAAGGAATGAAAAATGTTTCTAGAGATGGTAGAGGATACCTGGAAGGAGGAGAATGAGGTGACTGCCCAGAGGGACAGGGGTGTGTGAGAGTGCTGGCTGTGCGCCAATTGCTAGGCTGCTGCTGTAAATAAAGGTACTAAGAGCCCTCTGCCCCATTCGAAAAGAGATTTGAATGGTTCACCGGTTCCACCGTATACTCTAATCTTTTTCATATTTAAATTGAAACCACAATAAATAATAGTAAATAACTCTTATTCAAATGAAATGAAGACTATCGATTGAGGCGAAGTGGCGCAGTCTGCAACCTATAAATGCATCACTACTGTCTCAAAATCAATCGAGCAAGCTCACAGGTCGCCTTGGTTTCAATGCCTGTAGCCTTTGTGTCGCCACAAAGTTCAGACTATATCATCATCCCAAGCAGGGATGTCTAGCGTGTGCCCCCACCAGAAGTTGGCAGAGGAGGTGGCAGAGAAGGACAAGGAGGAGATGGAAGATGACGGGCAGGAGGACGATGTGGCTGAGGAGCAGAGGGATGGTGCAGCAGCAGGCATCCAAGGAGGACAGGGACAAGGATAAGTAGGTGGCAGAGGATGACGAGGAGGAGGAAGACGTGGTGGACAATGACAGGGAGGAGGAGGATGACAGCAGGAGGAATAGGTTGGAGGGAGGAAGAAGAGGTGGCGGAGGAGATGGCAGACGAGGAAGGGAATGACAGAGACCAACGGGAACGAGGAGTTGGATAAGGAGAATGGGTACAGCGCCTTTTGTTTTCCTTGGGTGCATGTGTTATGCGTTCGATTGATTCACAACTCAAACCGCATTAAAATGTTCCCATACACATCTGCAATGACAGGGAGACTGAAGAGAGCAGATTCACACCATTGCCATGGAGACATATTGCATAGTGGAAGCCAAAGCCAGATATAAAAATAGAGAGAAAAATGTTCCAATAATTATTTATTACACCCCCTGCTCTCCTCCTGTCAACCGAACAACTCCAAGAATCTCAACCACGAAATCTGTTCCACCTCCAATTAACCCCCGACAATACACTTCAACGAAGCTTCACTGACCCTACGACCCCCAGCCTCCAATGATAGCCCACTGTTGAAAACAGCATCTCATCATGCCCCGAGCCTGTGAGTACAGGCACTGATCTGGCATGAGCCAGATACCAACCAAGCCGCAGCGCCGCAAACCACCGTGAAGAAGAAGGTGAGCCTCGATGAAGAAGATGATGGCTGCCCTGGTATGGCAGCAACTAGCAACACGCAAGCCGCTCAAGGAAGAAAGCGGATGTTCTTCAACCCCACAAACAGCAACGTGATGGCAGTGGCATCAGCACCTGGAAGACCTCTTACAGGTGCTGCCTCCTCAAGCAGCAGGGCTGCCCCAGCTATGGCTGCCCAAGTTCCCCTCCGAAGAGGAAGAAGACTGAGCGGTGGAAATAGTGCCGCTCACGCACTCCCGTCGCCATTTTCAAAAAAAAATGAGAAAAGAACCTCAAACTCGTCGGCCTCTCCCTACTTCTATTCAACTTCCCTAGACCTACAACACAGCAGTCACCTACGAACTTATCTAACCGTCGAAACAGCAAACATCTACGGCCAAACAGTCAAGATCTGCCTACATGCATCTGGATGGAAATCTAGACTACGGGGACCCAAAACTAGGACATGCAAACGAGAGACCTACGAGCCTACCAGTTTCCAGAAGAGCAGAAAAGGACAAAACAGCAAGACCTGAAGGATCTAAGACTGCCAGATAGAGACTACCAGTGACAGGTTCACCAATCAAGCCCAGTAGGACTCAAAGCTAGGAAGCAACGCATACAAACTGCCGGTCACGGGATAAAGTCCCGAAGGACTCAGAATAGGGAAACAGCAGACAAACTTAGTGCACAGCCCGTGTGAGCAACTGGAATTCATTGCACATGTAGGGAGGAGGTGGTGGAGGATGGCGGGGAGAAGCAGGACAAGATGGAAAAAGATGACGGGGAGGAGGAGGAGGAGAGCAGGAAGAAAAGCTCGAAATGGGGGAGGAAGAGGCAGCTGAGAAGATTGCGGAAGAGGAGGAGGGGGATGGCAGACGATGACAGGGAGGAGTTGGGGAAGGAGAGGCACTTTTCTTTCTTTGGGAGGAGGAGATGGTGGAAGACGGGGAGGAGGAGGTAGTGGGTGAGGAGGGGGATGGTGGAGCAGGACGTAGCGGAGGAGGAGGGAGAGGGAGAGGAGGACAGCTGCAGGAAGAGGTCGGAATAGAGCAGCAAGAGGAGGCAGAGGAGGTGGCGGAGGAGGTGGCAGAGGAGACCTGGACAAGGAGGAGCTGGTGGAGGAGACCGGGACAAGGAGGAGGAGGTGGCGGAGGATGACGGGAAGGAGAAGGAGGCCGTGGAGTAGGCCAACAGGGGAGTGTGGAAGGTGGTGGAGCAGTGGGAAAGAGGAGGCACCGGAGGTGGCAGAGGAAGACAGGGAGAAGGACGACGTCGGGCAGGAGGAGGAGGAGGTGGTGGAAGAGGTGGCGGAGGATGAGGAGGAGGTGGCCAAGCAGGAGGACAAGTTGTGTGGGAGGTGGCAAATCAGGAGGAGGAGCTGACGGAGCATGGCAGGGAGGAGGACAAGATGGGATAGCGGAGCAGGAGGTGATCGAGGATGACAAGCAGGAGGAGGACAGCAGGAGGAGAAAGTTGCAATCGAGGAGTAAGAGAAGCCGGAGGAGGTGGCGAAGAAGGAAGGGACCGAGGAGGAGGTGGCTGAGGATGACGGGGAGGAGGAGGAGGAGGCACTAGAGGATTATGTGAAGGAGGAAGGAGGTCGGAATGGAGAAAGAAGAGGTGGCGGAGAAGATGGCGGACAAGAAGGGGGATCACAGATGGTGACGGAGGAAGGGGGGGAGTTGGCGGAGGAGAAGGGGAAAGAGAAAGAGGATGTGGCAGTGAAGTTGCCAGAGGAGGAGAAGGTGGCAGAGGATAACAGGGAGGAGGACCGATGGCAGATTAGGAGGACAGGTTCATGAGGGAGGTGGTGGAGCAGTTGCGGGATGCAATGGAGCAGGATGTGGCAGAGGAGGGCCAGGGGGGRGGRGRCGCAGTGTGSGCTCTGTGAGAGAGAGAGAGAGAGAGAGRGAGAGAGAGAGAGAGAGAGAGAGAGAGAGAGAGAGAGAGAGAGAGAGAGAGAGAGAGAKCACATGTGCRCATTACATTCGGGACTGGAGGACGACCAGGAGGAAGAGGAGTTGGCAGACGAGGAGGGGGATGGGGAGCAGGAGGTGACAGAGGAGGACATGGAGGCGTCGGAGGATGACGAAGGACGAGGTGACCAAGGATGAGGGGATGGCATAGCAGGAGGTCGCGGTGTCTGACAGGGAACTGACAGGGAAGAGGAGGTGGCCATGGGGGGATGGGCAGGGGAAGCAAGAGGATGTGCCGGAGGATGAGATGGAGGAGGAGCCGGTTGTGGAGGACAACAGGAGTGTGCACTGGTGCCTGCTCCGGCGCGTAGCGGGATTAGTTGGTGGCAAAGGATGACAAGGAGGAGACAGGGTGTGTGCTGCTTTATTTCTGAAGTGAAGCTGACACGTGCCACTTTTTTTACGTCGTTGTCTTATGTCTTTCAGTGAATTCTCCAAGATGCACATGCAGAAGTACGGCTCTCATCACAACACTGTTTTGGATCCATGCTCAAATGTTTCTTACAGAACAGCGAATGCCAAGAGAGATTGGATGTTATATACTACATTCATACATTGCAAGGCCTGCTTAGCAACAATCACCATCTTTTCATTCAAGGCGGCTTCAGACAAGTACCCACGTGTGACTCTGAATCACACCATCTCCTTTACTCCTCTGTTACCTGATCTCCGCATTCTCTCTCTGTCTCACCTGACACTGTCTCTTCTTCCCCATCACTGCGCTATGGACCGAGCTGGGGCGGGCCCATCAACAAAAGGTCCTTGCACTCGACGTCTCAAAACAACAAAAAAAGAAAGGCAAATTCAACCTCTCTGCTCACACTTGCTCTGTTCGATTTCCAGATGTCCACACTGTGTCGCGGGTCTAGCCACGGCAGGCTCATTTGTTTTAACAATTTAACTTTGAGTGAACTGCAATGAACTCAGTTCAAATCCTCACAGACAATTTCAAAGGGTCGTAACTTTTGGTCAAAGCCCAGTTTGAGGGGTCAAAACTTGCGTCCGAAGTCTAGAAAGGCCTGAGACGAGTCATAGGGTCACAGGGTAGCAGGCCCCAAGCCAAATGCTGCGTCCAGTACCCCCGCAACAGACCGTTGACTCTTGGGAAATCAAGAGCCAGACCCAGCACCAAGAAGGCAGGCCCGAAGTCAAAGTCTCCCAGAAGTCAACCATGGCCGTAGATCAGATGCACATCAAAGGTTATCTGCAGGCTTCCAGAAGATTCCAGTTCCAGGCTGGTCAAAGCCAGTCAACGCTATAAGAAGAAGAGACCTGGCCAAGGGGAGGAACATTCTGCCTTGCATTTGCTCGCGGCCAAGTTGCTGCACGCAAGGCTGGAGAGGTGAGACGCTGGCGCCAGATGCTGGAAGAAGGCGCCAACCTTGTAGTAGAAGATGGTGGAGCGGCCATAGCCGCCATAGCTATAGATGATGTAGTTGGGCGAGGAGGAGGAGAACCTGGTCTGTGAGACTGAGAGGAGGTTCATGAAGGGGAAGCTTACCTGGACTTACCCATTGCTGATGTGATTGAGCTGCTGTTTCTCACTGAGATTGGGTTCATTGCAGAGCGATTGTAACTAGGTAGAGAGCTGGAGACACACCATCGCCTCATTGGTCATCACATTTGATGGCTCTCTTCAATCATCCGATTTGTGATTCAAGCATTGAGCAGAGAGACCAAAGGGAGACATACCTCAATCGTTGCACCATGCTCACTACCTTCCTTAGTCACCCATTCCCCTTCCTATTCCTATTCTTCTTCTTCTTCTTCTTCTTCTTCTTCTTCTTCTTCACCGTCGTCATCATTGCCATCCTTCTTCTTTCCCGTGTCTTGGAATTGCTCTCCGCGGTCGTTCAGTTCGCGACGTTCACGATATCAACATCAACAAGGAACTCTTAGGTTCCTTGACGATCCTGCTTTTCATTTGCTGCGTATCCTCTTCCATAGCAGAATCTGTTTTGCAGGAAGTGGAGTGAGAGGGGATGGAAAGAAAATGAAAATGAAGGCAAGCACAGAGAGAGAGAGAGAGAGAGAGAGAGAGAGAGAGAGAGAGAGAGAGAGAGAGAGAGAGAGAGAGAGAGAGAGAGAGAGAGAGAGAGAGAGAGAGAGAGAGAGAGCAGAACAATACCTTCAAAAAGTCAGGCTCGCTCACTTGTTCACCCCTAGCACGCAATGTCCAGACGCCTGAAGGCCCACGAAAATCTGGAATCCCAGCAGCAGTAGATATCCCCGCTCCAGTGTAAACCTGAACCAGAGGCAGTTCACCACAGTCAACAAACAGTGAAGCCAATCAATGGAATGGATGGTGCCACTCAACATTGCTCATAGGCAATCAATATATACAAGAAAGGCCAGTGTGACCCCACCCGCATCACAAAGAAGTATGGTGGATGGCGCAGTGACTCGGTGAGAGAACCAAAGGGTCGATAGCAGATTGGGAAGTAGGGAAGGCAATCCGAGGATGGCGCAGTGACTCAGTGAGAGAACCAAAGGGTCGATAGCAGATTGGGAAGTAGGGATGGCAATCCGAGGAAACCCATCTCCTGACAGCACAACAAATTGCTCAGCAACAGGCGAGCCGGTAGTCATTCGATTCAACACATCAACCAACCAGCCATCCAAGTCACCAACTAATCAATTCATCAATCAACCAATCACTCACTCAACCAACCAACCAACCAACCAATAAATAAGTAAATAAATAAATAAATCGATCAATCAACCAATCAATCAGTCAATACTTGATTAAGCAACCAGCCAATCGATCATTCGATCAACAAATCAACTAATCGACCAATCAATCGATCAGTCGATCAACACATACTCGATCAATCAACCAGCCAATCGCTCAATCGATCACAGTGATCCCATGCAAACCTCTCAGTTAATCAGAGAATCAATTGATCGGTCAGCCAATCCATCAATCAATCAAACAAACATCCCACCAGTAATTGACCAACCAATAAGCACCCAATAAAAGAAATTAGGAGAGCAAGCGACAAAGGTGAGTCTACCAATAAGCCCAAAACAGCACTCTCCTTGATAGGTAAGGGAGGGAAATGTATCAATCAATCAACGGAGAGACGGGGAAAGCCATCCATCAATCACTGAATCAAAATAGCAATGCAGAGTTTATGAGCTGAAGTGCGGCAGACTCTGGTGCATCGACGAACGGATGTGCACCTACAAGATATCCTTCACTGGGCGCGCTCTTACGTACTATCATGAGAGAGACAGGCAGATCAATTAAACTCTTATTTTTATTATTGATTACTAGCAATAAGCATGGCCCCAACCGGCATGACACGGGAACATATCCAGAAACAAGACTCTACTTTGAACTTGGGAAAAGAGCAAGACACAGAGAGAGAAAGAGGGAGAGAGAGAGAGACCCACACACAAAGAGGCACTACTTCGTTCTTGCTCTCAAAACAGGCCGAAGGAACAAACCAAGAATGACCATGCTTCTACCTATTCTTCGATCTGCGTATTAATTCATTTCTTTATTATTAATTATTACTTATTAATATTATCAACTATTATTATCATGATTTATCGTCAATTCACTGATCTTGAATAATAACACAATTATAATGATGACGGTGACGATGGTGAGGAGGAGGAGGAGAAGAGGGGACCTGGAGGAAAATGGAGTGAAGAATAAATTTTCCTCGTCCGTTGAAAACCCTTATGCACGATTAGGGGGAAAAGAAAACGAAAGAAAACCAGGTTAGGTCATCTCTGTGCTTTCAAGGTCTGAAGAGTCGCCATGCAACGGATACACACAATCTAACAGTTTGACCGGCGATCGGCCATTCATGAGAGGCCGAATGAGCAAACGGTTTAAGCTGTAGTTAGCTAGGCTTCCAGCCGGGCCGCCCGGGTCACCCTGTTTTCCCGGGCGGCCCGGCCGTGCAAGGACCAGGGAAGGTCCCAGCAAAAAAAAATAACAATTAAAAAAATCAAAAAAATACAAAAAACAACTACGTTATGCAGGAAAATAAACTGAACCACTTTTGCCTCAGGGTCACATCGAAATTCCTTACCAAATTTTAAATAAAACATAACATTGAAAACTATATTATATATTTTTGGCCCGGCCGGGACAGTGGTCCTGGGCCACCCTTTTTTTTTTTTTCATATTTCAAATTGAAAGATATGAGGCCGGGGACCTCACAATTCAACCCGGAGTTATCCCGGCAGCGGCAGCCGCTTTAGCTTACACGAACCAGTTCTCACAGATCTACTTAATGCTGGTCATTTTTAACAACAAAACCTTACCTAGGTCCACACACTTGTTCAAGACTCAAGACTAATTGCCCGTCCTCTACCCTACCCAGCCCTACACCCTGCCTAGCGTATCTTAGACTATGCACAGACCTACTAACCGGTCTGGTACCCGGCCCAATGCGGCCGGGAGGAACCTTGTTCCTTTTCCAAGGACCTGGCACTCTCCTTCCCACCCCCACTACGCAGTCTACTGTGACTGCCCACAGGAACCGAGTGCACCTGGTTCATCATCCTATTCCAACCTACCCTACTGCTTCTCAATCCATCTTCCCAATACCAACTTCCCTTCTGAGGACACGTGGGCCAACCCCAGGCCCCAAGTCCGTTGGAACCATGTCACACCCCTGTTGTGATCCGAACGGGACCACTTCCGCAACCAGTCCGCTCTGATAGCTGTGGCAAAGGCTTTTGAAGAGTTCTTCTGCATGTTTTTCTGGCAGACATTCCCCCTGGAACCTGAGGTTGTTTCTGTCAGCCCAGATAACCCAGAACATGATTGCCCTGCCCACCTGGGCTACGTGATTGCCCTGCCCACCTGGGCTACGTAACCCCAACCCTCAGTACTTTTGTACATCTGTGGCCGACAACCTGCAAGAACCCACCTCTGCCCAGTCAGATCCATCCTTCCTGCAAAACTTTTCCAATGATAGTTCCACCACCTCCACCATTTCCATGACCTTGGGCACTCCCACCAGAGATGTTGCATCGTCTCTGGCGCCTCTTTGCATCTATCGCATGTTACATCTACGTCCATCCCTTTGTCTGCCAGCCACTGAGAGGTGGGAACCGCCAAGTGTGATTGTAGCCACAGTAGAGATGCTAGACTCTGGGACAGAATGGCTTGGAGTTGTGCCCATAGTCTAGAGACAAAACTCCCGGGCCACTCTGGTAGCCTAGGTAGTTAGTTTATAAAAAAGAAAAAAAGAAAAAAAGAATCAACCGGTACTTCGCGAAAAAGCAGAGACAAAATGCGACGCAACTGCATGGCATGATGGCATGATGACGAAGGTACCCCGAAGCCTTCGAGCTAGCTACTGGTAATTCACTAAGCAGACTAAGAATGCAATACAAATCGATGACATGATGAGCAGTTGTTAGTGAGTGTTCACTAAGCAGACAAAGAATGCGATACAAGTCGATGACATGATGAGCAATTGTTCGCGAGTATTCCTGCTATCCTTAGCCAAGGCCGGGTAATGGCCCCTGTATCTCCAAATCGTTCAGCATATTTTCTTCGGGGACGCTGGGCCCCGCTCCCAGCACGTGTTCCTCCCCTCGAATATGTCGGCGCATTGTCCCGTTAAAAAACAAAAACAAAAAAAAAACAAAAAACATGATGAGGAAGCAAACAAGAATGCGACACAACTCCATGACAGGCCGATGACGAAGCAGACAAGAAGGCAAATACCCGTAATAGCTTGAAGGTGTTTTCAACGAGCAGACACGAATGCGATACAACTCCATGACATGATGCAGTAAGGGAGTTCAACCCTCGAGCTAACTCCTGGAAAGATATAAGACGACAACGACGATTACGGAATCCCACTTTTGCCTTCACCCCCATACCCTTTTTCCTCCCTCGATGGTCTCTTTTAGCTCCCTCTTTTTCTTCATAAAGGACATCTGTGGCGACACAGCTACCAAAGCTAGCTACCATCCACATCATTTTCATCATCTTGTCTGCCATCCGTCCTGCACCATGATTGATTCATTCATTCATTGATTGATCCGTCCTGCACCATGATTGATCGATTGATTGATTGATCCATCCTGCACAATGATTGATTGATTTATTTGATTCATTGATTCATTGATTCATTGATTGATTGATTGATTGATTGATTGATTGATTGATCCATCCTGCATCATTTTTGATTGATTGATTGACGGATGGATGGATAGAATTTATTGATGATTAACCTCATCAACCCCACACTCCACCCCACTCCCTCCCCTTACACCCCGCCCCCCCCCCCGGACAAACTGCTTAGGTGCTTCTTCGTTCAGGAAAGAGTAGTTTCTCGTATATTCATAAAAATATCAATCAAGAAATTCTGAATCTTTTGCTCTGGCTGAAGATGGTTACAAAAGGGTTCCTTCTCATAGGTAATGCTTCACCAAGCCGATCCAAAGAAGATGACAGCGCCATCAGCGCATGGATACAAGCTTATGACAAGTTCTCCCTACAATGTCCAACGTTGTCAGATGACAATGCTGACCACTATAACACAGGGAAAGAACACCTATCGCAACGCCATCACACGCATGGCTGATCGTCAACTGCGACTACCGTTTCCCCGAACTCAATACACGACTGTATGTGGGCCAGTGGAAAGATAGATTGCATACTACTTTTTCCATGATGAGGGTGCACGTTGAAGACGGTAGCACCGAGAAGGTGCATCGTCATCCAAATCCACCATGTGGCCTCATCCCGATCGCTCGTCTGTCGAAAGATCCAACAAACGATTTCAGGATCCGTTGAAGAATGGCATTTCTCCTACTCAACGTTGAACAAGAAGAACAGGAAGAAGAAGAAGAAAGAACAAGAGATACTGAAAACAGTCGCCATAGACTGCTTCTCGTACACGTATCGACAAAAAGAACTAGAAGAGGAAACAAGAAGACGGAGAAGAAGAAGAAGAAGAAGAAGAAGAAGAAGACGAATTGAATCGAATTCAAGTAGCGAGGCCGATCGCTACACGTCCATGTTCATAGAGTAGGCAATCACAATTCCTACACGGACTTCCAGCTCAACGCGCACATTCCCCGACGCGTTTCGCCTGGTTGCACACCAGGAAGAAGAAGAAGAAGAAGAAGAAGAAGAAGAAGAAGAAGAAGAAGAAGACGAATTGAATCGAATTCAAGTAGCGAGGCCGATCGCTACACGTCCATGTTCATAGAGTAGGCAATCACAATTCCTACACGGACTTCCAGCTCAACGCGCACATTCCC